ATTTACTTTCTTTCTTATTTGTTTTTATTTGTATTCTTCTTTTTCTAAACCCTTTTTTCCTGTTATTTCTTTTACTACTATTATTCATTTTATTGTTATTTCATTCATTCTTTCTTTGAACTTAAATACCTGTTTGTTGATTGATTTTCATTACAAGAATCTATGGAATTACTCAATAGGCATAGCAACAAAATTTGTTGTATATTCTATATCGTTAAAAGTTGAAAAATAAAATCAAAAATAAATAAAATCAAGTGTTTATTAAATAAAAAAAATATACAAAATTAAACAAATATTACACATAAAAGGAACAAGATAAATAATAGTATAAATAAAATGAAAACACAAGAAAGAATCGATTATTAACATTATCAATTAATACTAATAATTAGAAATAGAATAGAAAATAAGAAAAGAAATCTAAATTATTACAAATGAATTTTATGAAAAGAAAATCATAAACAATAAATAACAGAATTTCCAATAAAATAAAATATATTATCATTTTAAAAAGAAGTAACAAAAAGAATAAAGAAACAATTAATATAAATGAACAATTAATACAATAAAAAAATATAATATATGAATAGAAATGAAGAAATAAATAAAGTAAGAGATGAAGAAATAGAATATGCAATCAAGTAAACAAAAATAGAAAATCCCAGGAATAAATTTAATTGAATGATTTTGATAAAATATCTTATATCAATAAAAGAATAAAAGAAATAAAGAATTGGTTAAACAGCCAATAATTATACAAACTAAAATTATAAGATGAAAGAGTATATTAATATAAAGAATGAAATCAATTAGATCATAATAATTATAGACATATTACATGTTTAATTTATATACTAAACTTATTACACTTATTAAATATAAAATTTAATATCAATTATTAATGATAATAAAATAAATAACACAAAAACAACATGATTGTAAGATACTTTCATATCAATACAAAGAATGACTAATCAAATTACATATTATAAACACATGGTATTGATTAAAATTGATTAAAATATATATGACATCATGAAATTATATCATAATGTAAATTAATTTTAGATAATAGAACGATTAAAACATTATAATATTCAAGAAGATATTATTGAAAATATAAAATATATGATTAATTGAAATACAACTATTATATAATTATAAATAATTATTGATATAGATACTGAAATATGATACTTCAATGAGATATATTTTCTCTATTCATATTATCTAATGTTTTTTATAATAATAAATTATGAGAATGATTCAAAAAGTAATTATATATAATCAACAGAACATTATAAAAATAAAAATAAATCAATTATTATAATGAGATTTATAATAATTACAAATTTAAATGAAGATATAATAATTGTAAACAATGTAATAATAAGATTATTTAAAATAAATAATAAGAAAATGAATAATGATAAATGAAAATATACAAGAAGAAATAACATACAAATAAGTAATAATAAACAATATAAAATAGGAATAGAACTAGTAAATAAATTAAATAAAGAAAATTAAAATAAAAGAATAATTAATTGAATTAAAAAATAATAAATAATATAACAACAATACAAAATAATAGTATTAATATAATACTGTGATAAATACTGATTTTATATCAAGAATTATATTTAATCATATGTAATAAACTTATATTTTGTGAATAGTACAAATTAAAATACAAATAAGAAAATTATTTTATTCTAAATCTTTATATTCTAAATTATTAACAAGATATAGATTATATATGCAATGAAATTGTTATTATTTATTATTAATGATTTTAATAAATGAAAATAGAAAAGAATTGATTTGAGTGTAATTGAAGTTTTAATGAAAAAGAACAACACAAGAAGTAAATAAAATAATCGAAATAACAAATGAATATCAAGAATGAATAATGAAAAGAATGAATTTTTTATAAAGACAAAAGAGGGAATAAAAATAATAATAATAAGAAAATAAAGGAAATGATACATGAAGAGAAAATAAATGAATAATATCATAATAAATGGATGAATAATAAATCATCAGATTTTGTAAAGATATAAAAGAATGAAAATAAAAATAATTAAAAGTATTGAAAATATTAAATATAATGAATACATGAAAATATATAATAACTGGAACAAGAAATATAATCAATAATGAATACAAAATATTATAAATATTATACAAATAATATAACATCTATACAATACTATTAAAGTATGTAAAATGATGAAAATATATAATTAAAACGAGATGTAAAAGAAGAAATAGTTAAATAATAATAAGAATAAAATAAAGAAATATAAAACTACAATACCCACTTTATGGTATAACAATAACAGAATGTTTAATTATAATTACTTATAAAAATACTTATTAACAGAAATGATAGTAAATTTAGAAGAAAAATAGACATTGTCTTCAAGATAATAACCAAAATAAAACAGATATTAATGATATAATTAATATACAAAATGAAAATATAACAATTAACTATTTAAATCGATTAATAAATATAAAATATTGCAAATTACGAAATAAAAATAAAATAATAGAAATCATTCGAATTGTGATAAATGTTGATGAGTTTAATAATAAATTATCAATAAAAATAGAAATCTGTATAAACGTAATAACAATAATACAAATATAATACAAGTTAAATGAAAGATAATAAATATTAATTATACACTGGTGATAATTTTAATGAAATAAACTCACAACAAATACACCAACATAACTCTTGTGATATAAAGAATAATTATAAAAATCAACAATAATTATATAATAAAAACAACTTTCAAAATAATGAAAGTGTGAATATCCAATTAAATATAATTAATTAAATTATTTTTTCAAATAAAACAAAAAAATAAATTAATTTTTGTAAGAAAAATTGAAATTAAATAAATTTTATTTGATAAACATTAAAGTGATGATTAAGTTGTTTCTTTTTATTTAAATGATGAACAGTAAATGCACCGTTTGTTTTATGTTGATGAATAAAAAATACTCTTCCAAATCTTGAATGTAATAAAGCCATTCCACACATTAAACAAGGTTCGTGTGTAGTAAAAAGATCAAAACCAGTACATAAATAGTGTTTGTGGTTAAGAGGAATTGATTGTAATGCATTAAAAGGAGCATGAAGTAAAGGGTGATTAGATTCTATTGTAGTATCCTTTTGAATAGTTTCAATTCTTTTATTCGCATTACAAACTAAAGAAATACATCTTTTATCACATTTTAATTCTTCGTTTTTTGTTTTAGTTTCAATTCTTTGATCAACATTTAATTTGTTAATCATTTCCTTAACATAAGTTATTTCTTCGTTTTCAATATTTGGTGTTGGCAATGAAGGTGGAAATAAATTACATGGCCAAATTTTTGAAAATGTTTTATATTGTTCTTTGTTAACCGGTGCATACTTTGGTACTTCAATGACTTTAATTGAATTAATGTCGATCCCTTCTAATTTTTGTATCATTTGAATATTACTCTCTTCTGTTTTCCATTCTTTTATTATTTCTTCTTCTTTTTTATTTTCTTCTTCTTCTATTTTACAAATTATTATCTCTAGTTGCCCTTCATAACGTCTTATCCTTTTTAAATGATTCATTCCTATTGGAAGCTCTTGTATTTCTTTCATTATTGCTCCTGTCATTTTTTTTTCAATAACCCTTCCTACAATACATTTCTCTTTTATTAATTCTCTAGTTTCTTCTTCACTTACAATAGGAATTATCTCAATATTTAACTCTTCCATTTTCTCCTTTAATCTTTCTCGTTTTTTTCCCAGTTCTTTCATTAAAAACAAAAATATATAAAACAAATTCTTTATTATTTTTATTTACCTCTTTTTTATGTTCTTTGGTTGTTGTTAGTATAACAATTTTATCAATTATTACCTTTTTTTTCATTTTGTTTGTTTTGTCTGTATAAATAAAGTTATTTTACCTTTTAATTTAATTGATATTATAAGAATTTAAGAGAAGTCTCATAGTTCTTTCTAGGGTGGTTGTTAAAGGACATCAATTTATTTTAATGACAAATGCAATGATGTGAATTGATTGATTTATTATTTAAAACATTACAAATAAAAACTCTTAACAAAACAAGATGAAACTCTTTTTTCTCTTTATTATTTTGTTATTACAAGCCCTAATTAGGGTTATTTTAAATAAAAAAAAAGTTAATTTAATAAAATTACAATTAATAATTTGTTTTTAATCACAAATTTAATAATCGTAAGTATAGACAAAAGAAGGATCTTGGTAGATAGGATCATAGTCTAACTTAAGAACAAAAGAATCAGGTTTAACACTAACAGGTTCATGAACGATTTGTGTTTTTGGTGAACCAAAAGATGTAGATGTAGATGGTTGTTGAACATTTAAATTAAGGGCATTAATAAAGAATTGATGATAAGGAGTGATAGTAAGTAATTTTTCTTTTTTATCAAATAAACTACAAATATGTTTTTGTACTGCTTTACCAATTTTATTAATTTGTTCTCTGGAATAAGAACCTAAATTATTTGGTAATACAACTGCTTTTATTTTTTCTAATTGAATTGTTTTCTTTGCTTGTTTAGTTTTTCTTTTTCCAAAAGAAATTCCATTCTGTTCTGCAAGTTGAATTAACCAACTAAAAGAAATAGCAGTTCTATC